ATTTTTTTTGCACCTATTTCTTTGTTTTGGTTTTTGTTTCTTTGTTTTGTTTTATTTTATAATTATTTCACTGCTGTGAGGAGTTTCCCCTCCCCCCCTCCCAAAAAAAAAAAATTGGAAAGTGCATATTTCCTTGATTGGCTTCTTCTTTCATTTTTTATAAGGGAAACATATTTCCTGTCATTTTTTCTCAAAAGATGTTGACAGATGCTCTCATGTTCTAGTTGCTCTTCATTATTGTGTTCTTAGCAACTTTAATATGCTAGAGTCTTCTTGAGCTGGATTTGAAGAATAAGACTGTCTTCTTCCTGGGAATATGTGCTAAAGATTTGGGGGAAATAAACTGAAAAGGGGAGGCCACTACTCAAGTAATAAGACACATTTTGAAAGTTTTTCAGCACAAACTGCCAATAATTATTGTTCTATGAATCAGTTTAGATGGTAATTTTATCATTAGCAAATTCCTTGTAACTGTGGTGATCTCTTGTAGGGATTTGTCAGACAATGAACTTGGAAATCTGCCACCACACATCTTCAAAAACATTACAGCGGTAGAATTTCTGTGAGTGAGATTCTTATTGGCATTAAAGATTGTATTGAAAATTTTAGAATTGTGGTAAATACAACAGCTTCCTAGATTATGACAACTCTAATTATAATGTACTTTCAGAAGGCAACATTAGTTTCCTTTAAAATATCATATATAATATTATTGTATTGGAGGATAAAAGTACCCAATAAGTTTGTAATTTGTAACAGGAAATGGATCATAAATAATTTTCGAAACTCAGCTTTAAACAATAGACCTCATCAAGGTGCTTGGGAATAGACTTGGGATTTTTCGAGCTTAACCTTGAAAGTATTATTTTCATGTCTGATGTTTTTCTTTGAAGAGTAACAAATGAAAACTGAGTGCTATTTTATTGGAGAAAGCATTGTCATTGCCTTACCTGAACTACGGTACTGGCCTTAAAAAAGAAAAAAAAAAACAGCTGTGTTAAAGATATCCCTCCATAGCTACATCTGCATATGTAGTCTAAACTTTCCATGGTGCTTTCTACAGGAAATTGGATTACAATAAAATTGAGAGGCTTCATGATGATCAGTTCCAGGGCTTGGTAAAGTTGATCGAATTGTAAGTACACTCAGAGTCTAAATATTTTCCCAAAATGAGTGGATTCGCAAACCATATGCAGCTCTGACAAGTGGCTAGCGCTTAAAACATCAGTTTTTTTTAATTCTAGAAGATCATGACTTGTTAAGCCCTCATCAATATGGCTTTCGAGCTGGTTTTTCCTGCACATCCCAACTTATTCGCCTATTTCACTCCTGGGCATCAGCCTTAGATAAAAACAAAACATCAGATGTCGTCTTCTTGGACTTTGAGAAAGCGTTTGACTCAGTCCCACACAAACATCTCATCTCTAAGCTTGGCCGATATGGTATCAATGGTCAGATTCTCGAGTGGCTAGGTGATTTCCTGCAAGATCGTTTCCAACGTGTTGTTCTGGAAGGTGAAAGCTCAGACTGGTCCATGGTTTACTCTGGTGTCCCTCAGGGAAGTATTGTTGGGCCAATGTTGTTCTTGTTGTATGTCAACGATATACCTGAGAACTTATCGTGTTCAAGTGAAATGTTTGCCGATGATACTCTATTGTTTAACTCAGATCATCCATCATCTGTTCATCAACCTGTGTGTGAAAGCTTGTCTCAGATCGTAGACTGGTGTAAAAAGTGGCTTTTGAAACTTAAAGCAACTAAATCCAAATGTATGAAAATCACGAGATCTAGATCTGTAACACCTTGCTCGTACAACATCAATTCAATCCCACTGGAACAGGTTAAAACACACAAACATCTTGGAGTCATTATATCATCTGACTTATCTTGGAAACCGCATGTTCTCTCTGTTGCTGCTAAAGCAAATAAGATACTTGGCCTACTAAAGCGCACATTTGGGAAAAGCTCTGAAGCAATATCAATTGGATACAAGTCTATGGTTCGGCCAATTGTTGAGTATGCCTGTCCTGTGTGGAATCCACATCAACAATATCTTTCTGATAAGCTTGAAAGAGTGCAAAGGAATGCTTCCAGGTGGATCCTTGGTAGTTCTATCGACTATAGTGAACGTTTGAAGTATCTTGGCTGGCCAACACTCAACTCGCGTCGTGAATTTCTTAGTTTAGTGCAATTATTCAAATTCATTAATGGTTTTTCAAGAGTAGACTTATGTAATTACTTAACTTTCTCCAATAGTCGGACGAGATCTACCAACAATGTCAAAATCTGGACGCCTTATGCTCGAACAAATATCCTCAAGAACTCTTTTTGGTATAAATATATAAAAATCTGGAATGACTTGCCAAGTGACATAGTTAGCTCTAGCTCTGCTAGTAAGTTTAAAAAAAAACTGAAAGAACACATTTTTAAATAATATCAATAATATTGCACCAATATCCATTTATCAATTAACTTGTTTTTTCAATAATTTTTACCTTTACATTTTAGTTTTATTTTTATTGCATATTGCTTTTATTCTGGGGGCTGCCGTCAATGAGAATTTAGTTCCTCTCTGGCTTGACCCTTTTTGCCTTTTTGCATCTCGATGTTATTTCTATTGTTATCTGTCTGTATTATTATTATTATTATTATTATCTTATTATTTAGGCAAATGAAGTTATTATAAATAAATAAATAAAAAATAAATTCTTTACGGAGGCCATTTTACAGTATCAACTCAGTTGATAACAGTAAAATTACACGATTATTGTAACGTTAACTCTGTCATTGATTAAATGTAACGTGCCATACCCAATTGCAATCATATTATGTTACTGTATTTTATTATTTATCTTTTATTCCTTTCTCCTGTTTAAGATATCTCTCGGAGAACAAAATCGAGGCTTTGCCTGACAAAATTTTTAAAGGCGTCAAAAACCTCAAAGCTCTGTGAGTACAGTTAATCACAAATAGAAAAAAAATAGAATACTTGAAGCAATGGAACGAGTATAACGGAAGTAGTTAAAATCTGAGATTTTAGTTCACAAACTTTAATATCAAGGAGATAAAAATAGGCTGATTAACAAAGTACTGCTGTAGTGACTTGGTGGTCATTTGGTATTACTCGTGCTCCCTCACAATTACTTAACCTCCTATTCTTTAATCTAAGTTTATGCTCTCGTGTTTGTCATTAATGAGTTACCCATTCATTCTATCGTCATTTACAGGAGCTTTTATTTCAACAAAATCAGCACAGTGAGCAACGAGCAATTTAAATATATCGCGCCAAGTATTCGATTTCTGTGAGTATGAACAAACTGCTATTATTCAAGGTGTACGTGTGATTAAGCTTCACGGCAGAGTTCATTCCAAATTCAAGGGAGACACTGCCCATAACTCTCGGATTAGTGTCCCTTCCCCCACCTTCACGGACAGGTAATCCAATTAGCTGAATCATACAAGTTAAGAATTGCATTATTCGAGTTGCCTGTAGATACGCGCCTCTGCAAGTGTAAAACTAAGGAACGGTTTTGTATACTAATGCAAAGTTTATACCGTTACTCACACTCGAATTTTATACTCTAATGATCTCTGGAAACAGACAAGACATTGCAAAAGTGAATGATGATTTTAATCTGTCCCCTTTCGGGAAAGATCTTGTACTTGCAACAACCGCTAAAGACTTTGGTGTAATTATGGATCCAAACTTAACTTTCGGAAATCATATTCTAGAAACATTTTCTTCGTGCATGTCACGTTTAGCTCAGATTATTGAGTTAAGCACTCTTTTGACAAACAGTCCTTAACTATTATCATAAACTCACTCGTTTTCAGCAAATTATTTTATTGCTCATGCGTTTGGAGTAATACTCCTCAAACAAATTTAAAACGTTTCTCTCAGATTAATTGAGTTAAGCACTCTTTTGACAAACAGTCCTTAATTATTATCATAAACTCACTCGTTTTCAGTAAATGATTTTATTGCTCATGCGTTTGGAGTAATACTCCTCAAACAAATTTAAAAATGTTACAGACAGTCCAGAATTTTGCCTCCCGCATAGTAAGTGGAAGAAGAAAATACGATCACGTGTCTCCAACCTTAGAGGAACTACGCTGGCTGCCAGTGAAGGAGCATCTTTACTACCGTGATGTCGCAATGTCATTTAAGTGTCTAACTGGTTGTGCTCCTGGATATTTATCTACACAACTCATTAGACGATGTGATGTCACAAATCGTAGAACGCGAAGTTCTCAAGTGCTTAACATTCCTCGCTTTAGAACAGCAAGTGGCCAAAGGACTTTTTTCTAAAGAGCAGTTAATTTATGGAATTCCTTATCTAACGATCTTAAACCTTGTGAATCGGTTAATGTGTTTAAACGCCGCCTTAGGTCTCGCCTCCTAAGTAACCTTAGCACTACTGCTATTTAAGTCATTGCTCTATTTTAAGTCTGATATATAATTTTTAGCTTAATTGTATAATTAATTTTAAACCTTAATTGTATTGCCTCTGAGAATCCTCTTTGGGGAAGTGGTAATAAAGTATGTATGTATGTATGTATACTCCAAAACCAATCAAATCTGGCCACTGAGAACTTTGGGAAAAGCTAATGAGGGCTTCCTCTCAATCAAACGTCCCCTCTCAAGTAGATTACAATTGTAATATTGCATGTAGACTCATTTCGACATATTAGGTATGTTTTACGTACTCCGCAACGAATTACTCTTACTCAGATAAGTGTGATTATTTTTTTCTCAGTTTGGGAGTGGGCTGTATTCTACAAATTCTGCAATCTGATTGGTTCCGGCCGAGAGCGGGAAGTATTTTCCCCATCCGGCCTGCTCACAACGGGCGGTATACGTTTCGCTCACGTCATTTGGCAAAACATCTCAAGCTTCGTTGCAGTTTTTTACAAATATATCTCATTTTGCCGGCCGGGTAGAATTTCTGAGCAAAGACTTCGGTCACGACCTTTTGGCGATAAATAATATTCATTTCTATTTTCTCTCTTGCTCTCAAATCACTTTGGTTTTTCTGCAAAAATTGATTTCGAAATAAATTTGATGGTAGTAAATTTGTTTTTAAAACGATTGAAACGCGGCCCAAAAAGAGTTGTTTATTTCATGTTGCTTCACAAAAAGTTACTCAGAAAGTTACTACGAGAGATGGATGCAGTTAACAGTTACGTTAATTAATGTCACTCTCATTCGTTAATATCTGAATTCTTCAACACAATTTGTCCATTTGTGAAATGATGAACGAAGTTTTGAGTTCTTTTATAAATACACTTTCACTTATTCTTTGCAAATCCCTTGCATTTGGACAATTCTATCGTAAATTTCCCATCAGAAACCGGAGGAATTCGATAAATAAAAGTTGCAGGAAATCCCTTTGTGTCTAGCTGGAAAGAGTCTCACTGACCTCAGCTTTTTAGTTCGAGAAAGAAAGATTTAAACACACCATCGCAGAAAACGAACCAGCAGACTAACAACTCAAGACACACATTTGCATTCATTTACAAATTGACTTTCGATGACATTTTATAACGGAACAGAGGTAAATCTTCGAAGATTAACCGTCGTTGGAAATAAACAATACTTTCCGTAAGATCTCTGAGGGCTTTATTTTGTTTTTGTTTTTAACGAGAAGATCGACGCATTCTCATTTGACTCATGTGTGTTTGTCATAACAGCAATGTTGTTTAGTCAAAAGCGTACGCTTTTTTCTTCTTCAATTGACAGATGTCACATGGTGAAAGGTACTTGTCAAAAAATGTTTTAAAGTTTGCTAGGAAGCCTTTTCAGTTAAATTTACAAATTAAAAATATTTCGGTGAAGGCTTTCTCTTTAATTTGAATAACGACTCTTTACTTTATCATCCACTCGCAAACAAATTCTTAAGTTTAAGTAGGATTTTCCCGTAACAAAACTCGTAGTTGTAGCCCTAAATCATTCGGGTTCTTTTGGCAATCATTTTGTTATGGATACTGCACTTGGCCTACGGCCTTGTGTGGTCTCCAAGTCCTCGGGCACAGCCTTTCCCAATACGGACCTCCCGGCTGGTGAATAAAATAACTATGTTGGAAAGGGGTCTTGGTTACTTGCTCTCTCGTCTTCTAAAATCCCCATTTTTGTCATTACTCAGGGTCCTAACCGTATGGGTATCAAGGAAATTGAGGCAAATTTGTTCATTGACAGTGGTACACCCTTCTGTTCCTTCCTGTCCTCTGAGTCCCAGGGAGTCACATAAAGTGTTAAGAGTTGCATTTTTTGGGGTGTGTGAGAGCTGGTTGGAGCAACGGAAAGAAGAGAGCCCAAAAGCTTGAAAATACTTAGGTTTAAGACAGCAGCATCTTTATAAGTTAGCGAGTGATGTTAAATTGAGTCGCTTTCCTTTAATTTGCAGTTACTTCCATTACAACGAGATGCGAGAATTACCGGCCGGTTTCTTCTCAAACATGGAATATTTAATAACAGCGTAAGTCAGCGGAATATTCTCCATGTCTGGAGATGTTTAATTGAGATATTTCATTTATCTGTATACAATGAGGCAGCTTGTAGAGCATTGCTATCACCCTTTCATTGTCTGCAGTTCAGATATTGAAACGAATCAAAATTTTTCCATTTTATTCCTATTTTGTGATTCATTTCAACTCTTTTCATGAACCGTAGGACTGTAGACACCAACCTGATGTGTTGTCATTTGACGAAAGAGACCGCGGATTGTGACTATGCTTATGTCGACATGTCCAGCTTCTCTAGTTGTGAAACTATGTTCAGAAATCGAGCTCCTAGGATATGTCTCTGGGTGATCGGAATTATGTCGTTGCTTGGTGCTGTGTTTGTGATCGTGTGGCGGTTGGTGTTTAAGGAGACAAAGGAGAAGAATAAGATACAGTCTATCATGTTGATACATTTGGCCGGGTCTGATGGACTGATGGGTATCTACCTTATCATAATAGGTGTAATGGATGCCATTTGGGCAGGGCAGTATTTCTTGCATGACTATAACTGGCGTTCAAGTTTGTCATGTCAGATAACAGGTGCCATTGCCGTGTTGTCAAGTGAGGTGTCTGTTATGACGATTTGTTTGATATCCGCCGACCGGGTTAAGAATATTGTGTTCCCCTATCGTGGAAAGTCCCTTACAATCAAGGTTACGCACCTTTTTTGTTTCCTTATCTGGATTGTTGGTGGGGTAACTGCATTTATTCCCATGGTGGGCATCGATTACTTTGATCAGGGCCAAAAAGGTCACCACTTTTATGGCAGATCAGTTGTATGTCTGCCATTGCAGCTTTCTGCTGATAAGCCTTCAGGTTGGGAGTACTCTGTTGCCATGTTTGTTGGTTTTAACTTTACACTTGTGTTGTTCGTCATTGTGGCCTATTCCATGATTATCTACCAGTCCTGCACATCAAACCGGCGCCTGGCTCAGCAAGGGACCGCAAGAGAGAGGAAATTGAAAGCCAAGCAAAGGGCAGCCGATCTGAGGAGGGAGGCCTCGCTCGCCAAAAGAGTGTTCTTCATTGTTCTTACCGACTGTGTCTGCTGGCTGCCTATTGTGGTGATTGGATTGAGGTCTCTCTTGGAAAATTCCTTCCGTGCACCTGGTGGCCTGGCAGTTTGGATCGCAGTCTTTGTTCTGCCAGTTAACTCTGCCATCAATCCCATTCTCTATACTTTATCAACAAAACAGGTAATAACTCGCAACCTTCATATCTGGGATAAGCTGAAATTTAGAGGATACTTTCATAAATATTTGTTCCATGCTGGGAAGAATGTAAAGTGAACCAGTTTAAGCAAAAAAATCTCGCTCAGCACGAAGAAAATTTAGTGGCATTTGATATTTGAATATTTTCGGATTGTTCTTGATCTTCCAAAAGAAAGAAAACCTCCAGTATAGAAAAAGAACGTTCGAAAATATAGAACGCAACATAAACGTATTACATTTTGACGATAAAATACTCAAAATAATTTTACAGTGGCATCTACCGACGCTTAATTTAAATCAACACTTTTCCTGCAGGAATCTCTCAATAGATGTGATTTCCACAAAGCGAATGCTTTGAGGATTTTTTTCTTTAAGAGGAGAGCATTTTGCAGTTTGAATTAGCGACTTATGCCTAAAAGAGCTGCTACATTTGCGAAGCGAGCAAGCTGCGAAATACGATACCTTAAGTTCTTCAAAAGAATGATGGAACGGAAGAACTGAGAAACGATAGAACGGTGAATCGGAGGAATTGTGAAATATGATGGGACGCGGAATGACCTGATACTTTTTATGCATGAAAAAAAAGAACCTCAAAAAATGGAATTGTAATAAAATAGGAAATTTATTCATAATTCACAGGCAAATTAGAAGAAGCATAGGCATTCAATGTTGGAGCTCAGAGGATTGGGAACCATGAGTCTTTCGAACTAGCCCCTTTAAATTATTGTTGTATTTACATTGTTAGCATTATTATTATTATTGCTAATACTAATATTTGTTACCATTTTATTACTGACTGAATGTCAATTGGACAATATATTCCTGAGTCATCCTCCTCTTGTGGAAGAGGGTACTCATCATTATGTCGGATGCGGCAGGTTTTCTGTTTAGCAGTCTTTGACTGTCTATTTTTGTTCTTGATACCTTGAATCTAGGTACGACGTATTCTGAGACCTAAATTCCAACAGTTCTTGGGCTATTTGTTGGAAAAGTGTGGACGAAATCAGAACAATGAGGGTAAGTTTATCGAAAACCATCTTCCTGGGAAATAAGGACTATCATTTTGACGTGCATTGAAGATACGGTTTCTCAAAACAAACCTGATCTACTGCTGTTTATGTCGAAACATACTTAACGTTGACATTAGGTCAAGTAATGTTTCGTACAACCTCTGTCTTCTGAATAACCATAGGCATGAACAATTGATTTCTCACTTTGAGCAATGCCCAGAGCTAATTTTAATTAGTTTGATTTTCCTTGGTTAAGGGTACGTTTAGACGACCTGAAGGGAAGTCATCATCAGAGTCCTGCTAAGACTTGCATGTTTAAGAGTTGTCCTCTGTGATGTCAGCTTTAATTGATTATAGTAGTTGTCATGTAAGATTGTCTCACTAAATCTCATTAGAACATAGCTAGCAGAGTCGCGCAATGAAATTCATTATACGTGAGCGTGCTCAAAATCCCGATTGTGCACGCTGATAGCGTCAGCAAATCCGACTTCGCCAGAACTGTTTTTTTCGCGCGAGCGGCCATTGTTAGCGCGGGGAAAAATAATATATTTCGCGACAATAATGGATACAAACAGAAACTCGGCCTAC